CGCTCTCTCGCAGCAGGGGACAGCTGTAGCCTGTAAAATCGCTGTTAATAATAAGAGAAACAAACACGCTGGCCATGTGCTGGGAATGTGGGTCAGCGTACACCCTCCAAGATTTTCTCTTCCAGTCAGCGTTTACCGACCCTGTGTTAGAAAAGACGCTGCTGCCAACGATCCTGCACGTAAAGGTGCAAGACGTGAAATCCGCCCTTTGCGTTTCGGTTGTTTGTTTCCCCTGATCTTTGAAAAGAGGCTGGGTGTGCAAGATGGGAGATGCTGCAAGGTTGACTGTGTTGTATTTTGTTCTCGGAGCTTTTGCATCGTGGGGTTTTCCGGGATGAGTATTGGGGGCGCAGTAAGGCTGCGTTTGTTAAGACTCTCCTGTTTGGTCAGCGTGATTCGAAGCCAAGGAGTCAGGAGCTGTTTTTCGTCCTACCTTTCCTTTCGTGGCCAACAGTTTGGGCAACTGTAATTAGACGTTACGTTTCAGAAGTGGTCTCAGGAAGAGTTTTATGGCCCAGGCGTGATACTTCCGCAGCGTGGGCTGAGGCACGTCGTATCGTTGGACTGTGCTCTGTTACGGGTGTAAATCCAGAGTAATTGCATCCCTGTCAAATCGACGGGGGCGCGGGAGGGATCAGGAGCCGGCGCTCCGTGGCGTGGTTGTGCCTCAGCGAAGTGGGCTGGCTCGCCAGCAGGCCGAGGGCGCAGTTGGGCGGCGTGTTGGCTTTGGCAAGGGAGCTCGGCCCGAAGATGGTCTCCGCTTCCCCGCGCTTTGCTCCGCCGCCCCCTCCCTTGGGCTGCCACAACTGCTCACGCTCTTCGGCTCTTAAGAGCATCCAGTTCAGCAGATTTATTTTTCATCTGGGTCGCTGGCGGTGACTTGGCTCACGGCGCAGCCTCACGGAAGGGTGTAGGGACGCTACGGCAGCGCCACGGCGGCCCGTGAGGGCAGCGGGTCGGGGAAGATGCAGGAAACCTCAGTGTATCCCACGAGATCCCCATGAGCTTGCAGCGGGTTCCCAGAGTAACCCAGGAAGAGCACGTTGTGCTGAACGACAGCCGTGA